GGGAAGCACACAGTTGACAAGAGGGTTAAAATCAACACCAGAAACTAAGGCTACGCTTGCACTGCCACTTTACCACACAGCAACTTTCTGGCTCAGGGATATGAAAAAGACACACACGCACTCCAAGCACAGCAAGTTACAGCACTGTAAAGCACCAGGGTAAACAGGCTGCTAGCTCTGTTAGCTACTTCCATTGTGGAGGTGGTTTACATAGAGCACTGGGGGCTTTCATCCAGGACTCCTGCCATGGCCACACTTTCAGTGCACTTTAATTTTAGAAGTGTAGACGAAGCCTAATTTAAGAGTTGTGAGTGAGTACAGAGCCAAGAGCATCCTGAATGAGATTTGGGTTGGGCACAGGTGCAGCTTAGCACTAAACTGTTCCGATTAGGTTCACCAGGCTATAGTGTTCTTATTTAAATTGTCTCCACTGACATTAACACACACATTATATTTGCTTCCTGGACCTCAACAAAAAAAAGAATAAAACAAACAAATTTGAACCCTACCCTATACCAGTTAATTGTGTCCTCTGAAGCTCAGCTCCAACTAGGTTAACCCAACATTATTTTGGAGGAAGAAACCTGTAGGAGAATAACTAAAATAAAGAACTTGAAGTTTATTCTAGCAATAGGTGGATTAAAACAGTTATAAACTTGTGCATGGTATGCCAATATTTTGAACAATAATAGAAAAAAAGTGTTTATGAACAGTGAAACCTAAATCTTTCTGACTGTGGGAGTCCATACAGACAGCTGCAAGGTTAACAATAAGCCTGCAGAACAAGGCAATGTTATGAAAATTGCAAAAGTATCCACCATACAACTACATTTCCTCTAACAAAATTTCCACCTTAGAAGGAAACAAGTATCCTTTCCAGAAACAAAGGATACTCACCAGTAGTTCAACTTTAAGGTTCTCATAAGAAATCAAAACTGCTGTTGTCCTAAACTAGCAAGTTAAGCTACATACTATCCTATCATGCTAGCTATTAAAGAGTATTCTTATGGAGCTTATTTCCTATTCCTTAAAAACATCGAAACTTTAGATTAAATACAGAACCAACTCCATAAAACAAAAATACAGAATGGGGAAAAAGCTAGAATAGACCCAGAACCACAATGATAGACTAAATAATAGTTAAACCTTCTAAGCCACAATATTGTACAAAAGTATCTTCAGGAAATTCCTTAATTAAGGGATCTCAGAATGGTAGATTATTAGATTAGATATATTTATATAAATTGAAAAGTAATAGGAGCACGGGTCAAGGCAAAATTACAATGTGGTTCAGTCTTCCCATCATCTCATCATTTAAATTGCTTTAGGGCTGTTGATTAATTGCAGTTTACTCACATGATTAAATAAAAAATTAATCTAAAAATTAATTGCAGTTTTAATCACACTGTTAAAAATAAAATCCCAATTGAAATTATTTAATATTTTGGATGCTCTTCTACATTTTCAAATATAGTGATACCACTTACAATACCGAATACAAAGTGTACAATGCTCACTTTATATTATGACATATCTGCACTGCAAAAATGAGAGAGATATATCACTCTTCAATTCACCTCATACAAATATTTTAGCGGAGTCTCTGTATAGTGAAAGTGCAACTTACAGGTGTAGAATTTTTTTTGTTACATAATTGCTCTCAAAACCAAAACAATGAAAAAATTCAGAGCCTATAACTCCACTCAGTTCTACTTCTTGTTAACCAAACTGCTGAAAGAAACAAGTTTATTTACATTTATGGCAGATAATACGGCCCACTTATTTACGTCACATGAAAGCGAGAAGACTTTCTGTAGGCAGCATTGCAAAGTATTTATGTGCTAGATGTTCTAAACATTCATATTCCCCTTCGTGCTTTGGCCACAATTCCAGAGGACAAGCTTCCATAGTGATGACGCTCATTAAAAAAATATATTCATTCAATTTGTAATTAACTCCTAAGGGAAGAATTGTATGCCTCCTGCTCTGTTTTACCTACATTCTGCCATGCATTTCATCTTATAACAGTTTCCAATGATGACCCAACACATATTGCTTGCTTTAAGAACTCTTTCACTGAAGATCTGAAAAAATGCAAAGAAGGTAGCAATGTGAGATGAGAGCTAATGCACTCGACCCCAAGGTTTAAGATCCTGAATTGCCTGATGAGGTGTGAAGAATGCTTTCAGAATTCTTAAAAGTGCAACACTCCGCTGTGGAAGATACAGAACTCAAACACCAAAAAGAAAATCAACTTTGTGCTGATGGAATCTCATTCAGATGATGAAAATGAACATGTATCAGTCTGCACTGCTTTGGATCATTATTGAGAAGAATCCATCATCAGCATAGATGCACATTTTCTGGGATGCTTGTTCAAGCACAAGGGGACATGAATCTTTTGTGCATTGGGTACATAAGTATCTTGCGATACTGGCTACAGCAGTGTCATACAAATTACTGTTCTCACTTTCGGTAAAACTGTATACAAGAAGGGGCAGTATTACCTGCTGCAAATGTAAAAAAATTTGTTTGAGTGATTGGTTGAACAAGAAGTAGGGCTGAGTAGACTTGTAGGTTCTAAAGTTTTACGTTGTTTTATTTTTGAATACAAGTGTTTTGCACATAAATTCTATATTTTAAATTCACGTTTTGCAATAAAAAGATTGCACTACAGTACTTGTAATGAAGGAATTGAAAATGTTTTGATTTTTACAGCGTACATATTTGTAATACAAATAAATAAAAAGTGAGCATTCTAACCTTTGTGTTCTATGTTGTAACTCAAATCAATATATTTAAAAATGCAGACAATATCAACAATATTTAAATAAATGGCATTTTATTGCTGTTTAATTATGTGATTAATCATAATTTTTAATGGCTTTTTTTTATCCCGTGTCAGCCTTGGTTGGTTGGTTTCTGAAATCTTACCTGAAAACCTTTAATAGTATCTCTCTCTGTAAAGCATTTCAGGATACAATTCGTACAAAATATTGTACCATTAATCAAGTCTTGTCACAAGAAAACAGAGTTCCTTAACACTAGCAACTGCAGGCAAACATAGACTTGGAAAAATTGATTTTTTAATTGACTTGTGAGTTTATTTTATAAAGTAATAAAATAAGAAAGAGGGAAACTCTTTCCAGTAAATTAAACTTTCATCTGAATTACTTTAATATTCCCTTTTTCTAATGGACAGTGAACTTAACACTGATTTTAAGGTTTCCTTTTGCTTTGTTTCAGTATAAGCAATTCATTATGTATCAGCAGATAGTTAGCTCTATTTATGTTATAAAAAAGGAATTTCAGTGGTGCCAACTTCAAGAACTCAAAAAAATACGAGAGTCAGGCTCCAAAACACACAAAGCGGGCTTTATTTTCTTATTGGTACTTAATTGATAATTAATTGTTGGGTGTTCCTGAGCCTTTGTAGTGCATTGAGGTCGCATTTTAAAGCTTTTCTCTGCATCTATTAGAGCTAAAAAGATATTTTCTTTAAATGAAAACAGTTTCTCATACAATATTTTAATGCCACCATCTGAGATTCTAAGAAACCAAATATTGTAAGATTCATGACAAAAATTGCAAGAATTGATTACACTGGAATTTTCTTTTAAAAGTCTGGAGGAAAACTCAGCTAAATCTCTACCACACACCTATAAGTCTTCCTTCCACTTCAGATGATAGACAAATAAACTAATACTCTGTTTCTATTACCTTTCATTACCTTTAAAAAAATTTGTCCAAGCCCACATAAAACTGCCAGAACCTTTGCTATCACATTTCTATCACTATTCTGCAATCAACATTTATTGAGCAAAGTAAATAAAGTCAAATTAAATATTCACAGGGTGGGAGCATAAATTTCACATGGATATAAATATTTTAAAGAAATATGTCCATATATCTTGAAAGTATAACATCACAGGTATTTTTAAAATGGGTGGAGGGGTGCTTTGAAGTACATAAAAAAAGGACATATAATATTCACTTAACTGCTCATATACCACAAACCTCAACAAAGACAAGACCACAATTTCAGTAAATTCAGAAAAAATAATGGGGAATGAGCTCAGCCATCTTAGCTTGAGAATTGGAATTTTCTTTGCTCTATCAGCAAAAATGCAGGTGAACCATTATGGTGGGGCAGAGCTGCCTCTTTTGAAAGACTTAACCAGGGCAAGTTTACAGACAACTTTCACAGTAGGTGTACTTTTGTGTGTGGAAAGTAGTTATAATAGTGAGGCCTGTCAGTGCCCAATTTCTGAGTATAAATGTCAGGTGCACTATATCTAAGCAAATGTACCACAAGTTTTTGGATACATTAATGAGAACCTACAGGAAAATCCGAATCATATTGTGTAAACTGGAGCCCCTTTTCCTGACCTTTCATTCTGTGTAACACTATCCTTACTCCTCTCCCATGCCCCATCCTTTCCTTATACAATAATCCACTTCCTCAGAACTGTAATCCCTTCATTTATAACTAGGAAAACAGACAGCCTCATAGAGACTGAGACACTGTTTCATAATATAGGTACTAGCAAGTATCAAGTGGAGTTTATACTGGATAATTTTTAAAGGCTGGATTAAAAGATTAATTCTGAACAGCTATGCAATGACAAGTATTAGACAGAAAATATGTGAAATACAGTAATGTAAGAGGGTTTAGTGTACCATGTAAAATACCAAGTTATTGCAAAAACCCAACAAGGATAGGCATAGCAGTGACAGCTCTTATTTACTTTCTGAACCTTGTCTGAAATTTATTTGCCAAAATCTTAATTTAATTGTAATCTCTATTGAACAAGTAAAACCAAATGAAGTACCTCTTTGGTAACTATGAGCAAACTGGAACATTAATATCTAACATTGGAAGGCACATTCCCAAAATCCATCTAAGAACTGTGCACACAAGTCCAGTCATGTATACGTCTTATGTCTGAATTTCTTGTGTATTATATGCAGACTCAACTTCTAACAGAGTACATACTTACCTTTCTGTCTTTTCATTTGGGGAAAGTTGCTGATTGTCGTTGCTTGAACTATTTCCACTACGATCTGATACCTAGTTTTAAGAGGAGGAAAGATAAAAGATCATCTTTATAATTTGCTCTTCATGTCAAACACTTTTAGAAGTAAAAATGTCAAAAACTCACTTGGAAACCCAGTCACTTCATATGGCACATACATTCCCATATAGACGGCGATAGGAAGATTTTCAAAGATGGAACATAAAAAAAAATCACTCTAATTATTGCTGGATTTTTGGGTATCTCCTCTCAACTGAAATACTTGGGATACTGTATGATAGATGCTTAAAATTCAATAAAATTAATGAAAATGTAATACAAAACCATGGTCTTAAAATTCAAAGGTAAGCCTAATTGATGTTGGCAAACAGAGTGGGATTGAAATGAAATAAACTTGGCAGAATTAAGAAATTAAAAACATGACTGGGAGAAAAATGTGCAACATCTTACTACCGCAAAGGTTGATCTGTCTACTGATATAACATGCAGTTGTAGTATTTGAAGGGGAAGGAGCTCAGGTAGCTGTAAGGATGATGCAGCTGGGGTATGTATCCTTTAAGGCCTTAAAACCAAAATCCATTACATTGTATCAAGTCAATGTACAGAATGAGGTGTTGTAGACTCAAGGTTACTTAAACCAGCAAGTAAACTGCAAGTCCCTGAGAAACCTTACTAAAAATGGAGACACACTGCGCTGCCCAGCCATAATGAATAAAAAATCTGCTAAGAAAGTAAAGATAATCACCCCTATCAAAGGGACATGATCCCATAAGAATGGCAGAGTAAGGGAAGATAAAGATGAGGTTTCCTCTGCCATCCCTTTTCCTAACCCAGAAAAGCCAGAGAGTCAGAGCCACAGTTAACCATAAAAGCAGTCACTGAAAGTTACATCCTTACGATTAATAACGTGACTTCTTGGTCATTTATCTCTGTCCCTGATCTCATCTACACAAAGACATATATATATGAAGCTTGGGAGGTAGATTAATTACATTTGTATGGAAAAAACCCACAAACCGTACACAGCAGCAGGAGCTGGAAGATAAAGTAGTTCAGAAGTGGCGATATTTTTACTCAAGATACTTCTGTTAATCTTTATGGCTTTCATGAACTCCTTGCCTCACACTTAATTATTCTACCAGAGAGATATTCAAACATGTTCCCTCTGAGCATATTGTTCAAGAGTTGAGGATTAACCAAGAACAGGAGAAAACATGAGGATGGAGGGGCCAGCCAGGAGCCGGCAGGGGGACCAGTAGAGCTGAGGGGCTGGTGCTGGCAGCAGAAGCCTGCCCCCACCCCATGATCACTAGAAGCAGTGGCAGAAGTGGAGCAAAGTGGCTCCAGCTGCTTGGCTCACCTGGCCATGCCACTCCAGGGGAAGGAGTGGGACCACCCTACACTCCCCAACGGGAGAACAAAGCAGCTAGCTGGGGTCGCCTTGCTTAGGCTTCCTCCTTCCTGCCAGTGAGTGCAGGAGGGGGGCATAGAGGACTCCTGCTACTGGCACCAGCCCTCTAACCCCGCTATTCTCCCCAGGCTGCCTTGGTTGGGGGGAAGAGGCATGATGGAGGAGGAGCAAGGAAGAAGAGGGACAGAGCAGGGGCTTGGCAGAGGTGGAGCCTGGGCAGGGGCAGGGTTGTCCAAGCCCTTCCCAGGTGGGAGGAGGTGTCACACAGGTGGTGGGCCCCAGTTTCCTCCTTACCTGTTGCCTCTAGTAAGTTTCTAAACGTTTCTAACATTCTAAGAAAATGTGCCTAATCAATTTAATACCAACTTCCTGTGTGACCGGGACAAGTCACTTAAGTCACATTCTGTACTTCAGCTCCTCCTCTTACGCTGGAGGCAACAGCACGTCCCTACCACATAAGGGTATGGTGAGAACATCTACATTACCATAGTATCTAAACACCTTACAATGTTTCATGGCAACCAAATTAGTACCACAGATATTGCAGGTGGTTCCCAATTACCCAGATGATTTATTTTTTTTCTTGCCACTTTAATCCAAACTATTAGAATTTCCGTGATGCCTCAAAATATCTAAGTTGTGAAAGCATCATAGCAATTCTTATAGCTAGCACTCAAAGTGGCAAGAAAAATAAATTATCTGGGTAACTGGGAATAAAACTAATGCATGAGTGAGTCAATTGTTTTTCAGTTATTTTTAGCTTGCTCTGCTTCATTTTAAAAAAAAGAGCTGCACATGTTGTAAACTGTGTGATAACAGTCTCATGTTGCAATTACCCTTGCCTTTCCCTGCCCCAATTCTGCCCCCCGCCCACTGACTGTCACCCTTACTCGTTCCATCACTTCTAAAGCAAGAGAATAAGCTTTGTGGTAGGAGCTGTAGTGTATGTATTACCATGAGGCATTTAGTAACTAATTGGTGCTGCTACACAAATAAATAAAACAAAAATTGTGATTCTGATCTACCTTCGTCTCAGCTGCTTCATCTAATCAGAGAGAAAATTAATCATCAGCTTTCCAACTTTATCATCTTTCATTCTCAGAAACTTCAAGTCTAAGTTCTCTGTAAGCTGTGCAGCTATGTGTCTGCGCAACCATTTTTTACCTCCGCTGAGAAGTTCAAAGCTCCCACATGGGCAGGGAGCTCAGCTGACTAGTGGGGGAGGTGTTTTGTCTCTCTGACTACGCAGGTAAATGGAACTAGCTGCCTGGTTGAAACTGAGCAGCTCCCAGAACATGTAAAAAGCAAGATAAGGGAATAAGTGGCTGAGGGATAGGGGGAGGGGCGAGGAAGAAGGGAGTAATTAATTAATTGGCTGAGGGGAGTCAAGGGAGGGGAGTTTGGAGAGTCCATCTGCATGAGGAGAGAGAGACAGAAACTCAGCATTCTCAACCCTCCTGGGAAAGGGGAGATAAGGGGCTGACTGCATGGGATAGGTGGGGGAAGAGAGGGCATAGGTGGGTTCTGGCACTGAAGAGAGGTAGCAGGAGGGAATTTGTTTGTGCTGTGAGGTGGGGGAGGTATGGATAATTTTTTGTGCTTTAACTGGGAGTTAGGACAGGACAGACTATTGTGCCTGCTAGTTTGAGAAGGATTTTATCCCAGTGCCCATCTGGGCTAGAAGAAGCAGATTCCACAGGAGCAGATGAGAGAAAGGAAATGGGTGGGTGCTTGCATCTGTACAATGAGGTGGAGGCAAGGGGTAGTTTGTTTGGGGTGTCCCTAACTCACTTGCTAAAGTCCTTTCTGTTTGTTTGGGTTGGGGTGGGGGGAAGCAGTCTGCTTGAGGTGGGGTGTGCCAGGACACTGGTATGATTACATTTCAAAGTTTACATGGATGTTAATGGCTTACGATAAGAAAGAAAAGATTATTTTAACAGAATATTTTTGAGTGTGGTAGATATCTAAAACTCTGATCTTAATGATTTTTTTTAAATCCTGTGTTACTAATTAATACATGGTATACTGTATTGCATTAAGGCCAGATCTTTGTTATGTGGTAGAGGTCTATCTCTTACGATTCAGAAGTAGCAAGTACTAGGTGTGATGCTAGTTGTTTTATAGGATAAAACCTTATCTGCAAATCTTTGAAACATGCATCTATCTACAAACCCTGAAGCCATGTGTTAATAATTCACACACACATGCGCAGATGTGTGTGTGTGTGTCACAGTGGGCTGTTTTTATTGGTGGTGCACAACCACACACTACCTCAATATTGATATTGCACACAAGAAATTTCAACCCACCCAAAAGAAAATTCAATCTGCCCAAGGACATACAATGTTAGAGGGAACACGGCTTCTAGTTCATCCAACCTCTCTATTTCACAAAAACATGTGGCACTATATGAAACAACTACTTTGTTTTCAGGCCTCATATGGAAGGATTCTCCTTTACTTCCCTATTTTATGCAATCTTGTTCAATTTTCGCCATTATCTTAAAATTGGGAAGAGGAAAGTTTAAGTATTGTGGGCCACACTCTCATTATCCATGGCATATATATATATTATATTTTCTCTTCAGGTTTTCACATTCTTGTGAAGCAAATTTCTCTGTAAGGCTCTTTTCCTTGATGAAAGGAAATAATGATGTGAGTATAACTACTTGACAAAAACAGGAGTTAAAACTTTTCCCAAAATAATCAAACCAGCACTGAGATATAGCAATCCTTCAGAGTTACGTGATCTTTTGCTCTGGAAATCTTTAATATTGGTACCAAATGCCAAAGTGCAACATAGAATCCCAGTTCTCCAGCAGATATAGATAGGTGGATGACAAACTCTCTATAAACCATTTTCTTCAAACAACAAATAATCTAGGTAGATTTAACATTCCTCTAAAAGCACGAATTAGTTCCTACAAAATTGATACTGTAAAAGTAGAATTGGGTGGATCAAAAATAATTTGAAGAGCAACTAACAAGCCATACAAAAATAAACAGCAAAACCAACTTTAAGTACAATAGAAGGAGAAAGCCTGCCAGACAGACAGTGAGGTTACAGAAGCTACAGGTGCCACAGGAGCGTTCAAGGAAGACAAGACCATTGTGAAGAAGCTAAATAAATTATTTGCATGAGTTTTTACAGCAGAGGACGTGAGAGAGATTCCCACAACTGAGCCATTCTTTTTAGGGATGTAAAATCCCATTTAATTAGTTAACCAGTTAAATGTAATGTTTAACCAGTTAACTAATTCCATGGGGCAGAAGGGGAGGGCTGCTCCTGTCCAGCTCGCACACCCGGGCAAGGCATGCTGCAGACTGCCCATGGCCCATTAAGGCTGAAGCTTAACATTTAAACATTCGCATCCCTATTTATTTCAAGGTGACAAATCTAAGAAACTATCCTAGGTCTTAGCAGAGGTGGTTTTGGAACAAATCATTAAATCAATCAGAAACAAAATCAACAGGACCAGATGATTTTCACTCAGCTTTCTTTTCAGCTTCCATGATGCCATCAGCAATCATTCCTGACACGATTCTCATCCTCCTTGACATAATCAACCAGATTGATTTTGGGCTTCATATGATTCCTGACTTTTGTCAGCTTCGCCATGCCTGA